AGATACAAGAGAGAAAGGAGAGCAATGTACGTCCAAGTGCACAGTCGTGAATCAAGGAAATCTATGCGTTCTTTCCAGCCAAAAGATTACCTCGTTGAATAAAAAAAAATCTTAGAGAAAAAATATATTTTGAGAGAGACAGCAAAAAGAAAAATTTACATTTTATTTAAATCCATTTTTTGTTTTACATAAAGTTAAATAAATTTATTTTACTTTTTTTTTCTTTACTGTTAAAATTTTATTTTTAAACATTACTATTATCTTGATCAAAGTATCTTTGACATGTAGCAGAGAGATTTTGAAATAGAAAAATAAACTTGTCTAGCTACTGTTGAATATTATTGAATATTGATCAATTTCGAAATAAAATGATTGATAATTAGAATAACCTTATAACTAAAAATAATTTAAAAGATCTATTGAAAAAAAAAATTTCCGCATTCTACGTATGTTCCTTTAACTAAAGGACAATTTCATTGAATAAAAAAAAAAAGCAAAATGACGAATACACTCAAAGTAATGAATAACAGAGAAAAAGTACATTGTATATAAATGTACATGTATATATAGTTGAAAAGCAGTTGTCCTTTACTCAAAATAGTTGATGTGAATAAAAATAAATAGGCTTTCTTACACATAAAATTTAAAATAAATATGTATCCGTCGATAAAGAGTGTTTTAATCTGACCTTGAATCACCTTCGTGACCTTCGTATGTAACGTATTATAATCAGGAAGTTATTAGTGATCAGCAGTGTGCCAAGATCGTGTCGATAGCATCCGGTATCACTATATATGTATGTATGTATTAAATATATATATAATAAATCTGTGTATATAAATATTCTTGAACTTGTAGCAAATGACACACGTGCAGACTATCATCGTAACTCAAACGATTTTGGGGTAGGTAATAGCATAGACGATTTACGATAAAACCATTGATTCCATGACCCAACTTATCTACGCTCTCCCCTAACATCTAATGACCCTCAAGGCCTGAGGGAAGAATGAAGAAGATAACGAGAAAATTTTCATAGTTATTCCGAAGAAAAAATAGCAAGACTCGTAGTCAGACTGGCTTTTCGAAATTGCATTCGACCGCTGTGGTGACCCGAGGCGTTTCTGGATCGTACGATGACGATGAGGCCAAGGAAAGGCATAAGAGAAGGTGTGGAGTGGAGAGAGAGGAACACTTGTGTACGTTAACTGAAAGAGAGAGAGAGAGAGAGGGAGACCAGGAGGAGAAGGAAGAGAAGACCAGGTTTACGAGGGTGGAGGAGAGGATTCAGTAGAAAAAGAAACTCTAGCAACTCTAGCTTGAGCTTGCCTCGGGAGAATAAGTCGTGGGGTCGATGAGGAACACAGTGGCACACCACTCGGGTAGTTGGCTTAGCTTTGAACGTGTGTTACTATGCTACAGTGCCGCCTTCTCGACGGACAACTGGTGAAACAACGAGAGTGGCGTCGAGGCGCCAAGCATAGCGGCGCCTACAAGAAAACTTTCAAAAAGTACTTGTTCAACAACAAACGCAACTACTTTGTTCACTTCTAATCTTAAAATTGCTTTGATAATTGTTCCATTATTATACTTTTTTATTCATGCCAAAGAGAAGGAAGTAATTATCTATGACGTAGTACAGTTGATTGTAGGGAATAGAGTAAAAAATTCTGAACGTTGAGAAAAATAGAGAAGATAATAGGGCTAAACTATAGCCTGTTCCCTGTTCATTTTGTCAAATTAAAAATAAAACACTTCCTAGTTCTTGGGTTTATTTTTTTTAACGTACTATTTGATCTCTGTTTGGATAATGGAGGAATGTAAAGCCTCTAGAAATTGGCACCGTGACAGACACTCGAGTTGGGTATATCAATTTAGATACTCAAGAATATTTCGAATCACTGGCTTACGTGATAAACGTCAAGCGTGGTATGAAAAAATACACAACTTTTGCCAGTGAACAAGTGAATTTGTCTAAAAATAATTTTTTCATAATTTATTAAGTACTCTAAAGCTTTATGCTAAGCTAAATTAACTCCTGGGATGTTGGTGGAATATAATGAGTGATCTTTCTTATATCATGTCACAAGAGAATAAGTTTCATGACGTGTTCAATGTCTCACGATTCCCCATGTCCGCAAAAAAATAAAAAACAAAATAAAAATGAGGGAAGACTAAAATGACTCGACATCTGGCGCGAATGAGATACATGTGTCGAAATATATAAGTTTGAACATATCTCTGGCAATCACGTCGTCATCACACAAAGGATGACAAGAATGCAATGGTATAAATACCCAAACGTTGTAATAAGATGCTGTAATTACAAGTGGAACAAATTCGTTAACGGAAGTGTTAACAGTTAAAATATCCTCTTTATAATTTACCAAGAACAGAAGAAAGAGTTGACTACCTAGACGTAATTATACATTGCGTTAATAGCATAGATATGTGCGCACTATGAGCCACCTGCAAATGTCAATTCTTACCACGACTACTAGACTGAGACCAAACATTGCATATTAAAAGCTAATCACGATGCTTTACAACGCTCAATGTTTTCTTAATAACCGGGCCGCACAATTGCAAGAGTCAATGCAGACATCGTCAGTACGATACGTAATTTATACATGTACATATCGGATTATATTATGCTAATTGGTGATAATAATTGCGAGACAATAGTAACTTCATCTAGGATCACTGACCTTACGTCCTTGTAATTATCTCACTGATTTTTTATCGATCTAATATCGGGATATTATTATTAAGTTATAAATGTTTACTTACCACTACATTCAACTCCAATTTTTCCAGTACCCCAAATGTAATCTTCACCTGTGAAACATTTTATAAAAATTAGTACATTCTGTAAAAACATTATTATCGAATTATTACTTTTAAATAATCTATTGACTATTTGTACTTACAATGTAAGCACAACAGTGGCGTCACGAAGTAAACGTTGACCAGATTGTGTCTGAATTTATCAGTACCCGAATTTTTAGGTCCAACTGTTAAACATGAATTAATATTAATACATCAAGCAATCGATAAGAAATCTGTTATTTAAATAATAAAATTATCAGCTTACCATAAGGGCCATTGCTAAGTGTAACATATGACGACTCTTCTTCGTTGTGAGTATCTAGATGAGATAGATTTCCTTTCAGCATTAGGACTTCCGCTGATGTACCGTTAATTGCTACAAAATATTATGAGAAATTTTATCATTCCGTTATGAAAATTATATAAATTATAATATGGTAAATTAAAGTATAAAAAAAACTCATTAAAACTTGAATAATTACCAGGTACACGAGATTTCACGTTGACCACCCGGTTCACAACATGAAATGACTTATCTTTGCAGATAAAGATACTGCTGGGTGGATCAGAAAATACTTTTGTCTCTGGAAAAGGCTTTTGAATATCTCTTGATAAATATCTTTATATAATGCATCCTTTGGTCACAGATTCTCCATTATTTGTATAAAAATTGCGTTTCTGTTAATTATTAATCCTATATAGTCTTTATCATTGAAGAGATGAGTAATTATGGAAGATCTTCAACATGCTTTACTTTTAGAATTTTTTTCATCGACAGTATATGCTCAGTCTTCGAGTGAATCATTAGATTAATAATAAGCTGAGCAATAGCTCTAAATATTTAATACGTTATTTATGTAAAAGAAGCATTACAATTATTAATAATAATGATGATTATTATTATTATTAAAATACATGTATGGATAATACCATATCTGTTTTACTGCAATTGTAGCTTATCAGAGTCCCCTTCAGATTTTGATAAAAACGTTGGGTTATATTTATTAATCTTTCACGACAATTATTTAATAAATCCATACGACTTGTGAATATATCAGTGTCTCACTAAGTTTTCCCTTTTTTTTAAATTTAATTTTATCAATTTGCATCACAGATTGAACAGCTTTGTGAGACAATATCCTGGAAAATAAATAAAACCACAGGTTGTATTAAATAAATAATCATTTGCAATAAGGAAAAAAATTTTATAATTCAATTATACAAAAATTTTAATAAAGAATTTTTTTCACATTCAAAAAATATAAACCGACAGAAAAAAATACTTAACCAAAGCAATACAAGATGAGATGCATGTAAAAACATTTTTAGCTATAAAAATGATTATTAATATAAAAGAATAATGTTATAGCAAATTATAATGATTTAGGAATTTATCTATATCATAATTTGCACGGAAATTGATTTCCGTCACATGGCGGCGGATGCTACTAAAGGACCACGGCTTGAAAGAGTTGTAAATTTAGCAAATTTTAAATAAAAAATTAGCTAAGTCTATTTATCATCATTCTTAGCTCAATTGTTACTTCAATGATTAGATAATTTAGGGACTGATAGAGAAGAGGTTAATCAGTTGTGAAATATAAAATTCATACATCAAGCAAAACGACAAAAGAATAGCAGAGAATATTAGCGCAGGTGAAGGCTTGTTTTACAACTTACTTTCATTGATGCATTTTGCAACGTAGTTGAACATTCAAAGGCACACTTCTTCCTGGATTTAATAGACTTTTATTTAGATTATTGTATTAGCTTAATATCCCAGTGATAATAATTATTGTTTACCTTAATCACAACACAACGACAACTTTTAACCCATGGAAGGCAGCAAGAGTAACTGCGATTGATCATTAGATCACAAATATGTGTAGATGAAGCTTGAACGCTTTCTTCAACGCGTCTCTTTCAGGTTAGATTGACATAGCGTCTGATGGCGCTCTAATCACATTCCTACATTTATCTTGTGTCGGTAACTGTTTGTAATGAATTTTTCACAATTATACTCATCATATTTGTTTATAATTACTTAAAAAATTGATATACTCGATAAAAAACATTTATTATTGTTAAAAAATATTATGACTATAAAAATATAAATTTTAATATTTTTTTTATATTTACCATCAATCAACAATTTTACTCTGTTGATGAGTTTTTATGACGTGAAGAGACTACTGTCAAATTGTGTATATTTTGTATTGTTATTCGGTGTATAAATAAAAATAAAGGTTGTCATAAAAGACAATTTTTTAAATTAATGAATAATACATTTTTTTGACAATTGGATTGTCAATAATTGAAGTTAATAATTGTTTTGATTAATATTATTGTTTATAATGGTGAATCTATCAAAAGCTGAGTGTTCAATTTCCTCATGGTACCCAATATTTGTTAAGGATTCCTTAGATACTGAAATTCTTCCCATACCTGAAGATGTTTTAAAATATTTAGAAAGTGATCCTTTTATACTGCCAGTCGAAGTAACTGATAACAAAATTAGTCACTTAAAATGGGAAGACGGTTCTTCTGTAAATGATGACTCACAAGACGTAAATAAAATATATTTTTCCGTAATACTTTTTGATAAATGTATTTGTAAAATGTTTATTTTTAATGGTTTTTTTTTTCTTTTCAAGGACTCAGAAGCTCAGCCAACGTTTCCAGAATTCAGTAAAAAAATCCAGGATGTCATTGATGACTTTGGAGCAGTTTTTATTAAATCTAATTGGAGGACACCGTCTGTAAATATTTTATCAATTTATTCATTATCGATTACCTATCATACCTTACCTATTACTTAATAATGATGAATACTTTCGATAAAATTAATTCTACACTACATTCCTTCTTCACGTTTTTTTCTCTCTGAAAAATGTACTGTTTCAATTATTGCTACAAACTTGCTTTGAAGAATTTATTAATTATGTTTTAATTTCTATCATAATTACTTGATAAATTCAAGTAGATGATAATAAAAGTTATCTAAAATATTTCAAACTTTACTCATCTAATAAAATTCAAATGTAAGAATTTTGAATGAAAATAATATTTTTCTAGGATGCTATATGGGTAACAGCAACGAAAACTCTGAAATGTACATCACTCGAAGATATATATCTTCTTTTGAAAAGCTCAAACAAAATAGCTCGGGATATTACAGTTGCTAAGGAGCTTTTAGATGATACAAAAATTCAATCTTGTCTGGTATTAAAGAAATGGAGAGATATCAATCCGAGTACCGAATTTCGCTGTTTTGTAATAAAGAAAGAACTAGTCGGTAAGAACTATTCAATAAAAATAATTTCGAAAAATCCTACGTAAAAAAAATATTATAAATTCAATTTTTGTTTTAGGTATTTGCCAAAGAGATGTATCTCAGTATCATCAGTATATTGAGAATGAAAAATATAATATTCAAACTGATATTATCAGCTTATTCAGAGAACGCATAAAAAATCGGTTTAAATTAGACAATTGTTCGTATTAATAGTTCATTAATTATAGATAAAGATAAATCAAAGATAATGCAATAATGAATTTTAAATAATGTTAAAGATTCATTCGACGTCATCCGGTATAAAAAAGACAAAGTAAAGATAATAGATTTCGGCCTTCTGGATGAGTCAGCAACCAAAGGAACACTTTTTACTTACTCAGAATTACATAATTCGATAACCAATCCACCTGAGTTTCGTTTTATCGCAGAAGACATGGGGATTCAACCCAATACAAGTAATCATTTTATTGTGCCTAGAGAAATTAACGAATTCTTTTCATCCAATGACCCAGACTCTATGATTGATATGATAAGAAGGGTGAGACGTTTGATCAATATAATTTTTCATTATATCAGAGTCATTATCTATGTATAATATTATCATACTTTTTTATATTTCAGGCTGTAGAAAATCAACAAATTGAATGAATTGAACCTGATAAAAAATTAATTTTTCAACTTATTGTCTATTGAATACATCTGATTATTAAATGTATTAATGTGATTAATCAAGAACAAGAAAGTAAATGAAGTATTGGCTGAATAAAATATACTTGTTTTATAAATATCATGAAACAATTCTCTGTTTTCGAATTCCCACAGATATTTATTCATCAGGATGAACAAATGTGTAAATAAATCATATCATAGGAAGGGTGAGTAATAAAAGAAATTTCATTTGTATTGAATAAAAATAAAAAGCAGATTTAAATACAGAACTTTCATTTATATTCTGTCAGACCTTTTTTCTATTGATGCATTACATAAACTGATGAAACTATCCTACAGTTTTCAAAGAATTATAATATAATATTGCAATATTTGTCAGACCGCCTATCTTACCGAGCGACGTACCTTATATAGAAAATATGTCTCGTTTATGTACAATATGCAACCCTTAATACTTCCATTTGAAAAATGATTATTCTTGATATATGTAATTTCGGACAAGTATTCTTTCAACACACTGTACACGTCACATTCTCAGAGTATTAATTTTCTCTTTAATTATTATTATTAATAGCCAACCATATAATTGGATTATTTTGAAAGCTGCATAAGTTAAATACATCCTTTTATATATTTATTTTTCTTCCTCTTTATTGAAGCCATCTAAAAATTCATTCACTTAACTCTCTAATTTATTTATTTGATCCTCTCTCTCTTTCGCGCTTTTCCTCTCACGCTCTCGCTTTCTCTCTAGTATTGTTTATTATATACTTGCCATTTGTGCATTGTTTCACAGTACTCATTCTCACATACATCTTATTGTTTTTTTTTCATATGTATACACCGTGCGATCGGCAATGTTTTTTTTTTAATAATTCTGTATTACTGAAACAAGTCATAATAATTATAATTATTCTAAAACATCTTGTAATTAATACATTTTTATATCTTAATTCATTCAATTTTTTTGTTTTTAATTACAGACTGATAAATACTATTTTTTCTATAAATTATTAAGTGTACCTTATCTGTTAGATTGTTATTTGTGCTAATTGATACTTATACAGATATTACCATTGGTACATTTTTTATTGTTCAATTCAATGATCAATCACTGAAGAAGTGATTAGAAAAATTTATAGTTATTTTATTCATTAATTATCCATATCACTAATTGCCACATTGCCAGAACGCATACAATACTTTGAATACTGCTTGAGTGCTTAGTGACAAGTTGTAGCTCTTATAAATGTACATTACAAAAACTCTTAAGTTATCTTAACGGCCTTTTAAAGCAGCTTAAGTGCCGAGAGTTAACTTTGGAAAACTCGATTCAATTTTATAATCTTATTTTAAGTTTTTATTTTATTTTATTTTATTTATATAATTTTTCTTATTTCCAAGATTTTCTTATTAATAAATAAATAATTATTATTATTATTATTATTATTATTAATTATTTATTATATATTCCTAATTAAATGCATTTGGTACGACTAAAGGGTAATTCTCAAAGCCACACTGTCGACAATTTATTCAATTAATATTTATTTTCATTACAAATGAAATGAAAAAAAATTTGTGCATTTTATCAAATTAAAATGTTCTTCTTATCAACATTGAAAAATATTTATCTATTTAGTGTAAAATTTCGCTTGAAATTTACATTTAACAAGGTTTTGTCTAACTACATAAATTTACAGGAAGATACAGAGATTACATCCTCAATTTCTTAAGCGCATAGTTAGCAGAAATAATAACAGTATACTAATTTATACATACCATTTTATGTGTTTTTTTATCTACTTTTCGTAAAATAAATAATAAATTTCATAACAAAAGCTTTAGCAGTGGGCTAATAAGAATTAACTAATCGACAATTACTATAAATTAATTTAGTTATTTTTTTAACTCATTACCAAATGCACATATATAAAAAATTGATTTAATTTACAAGGTTTTTTTGCACAAAGTAATATAAGCCGCAAATAAGGTCGTATATAAATACATAGTTTATTGAACTAAGATTAAATTATTATTTATAATTATATAATAATGAGATCAAATTAAATAAAAAAACATTTAGAGTACATATATATATGTAATTCAATATATTCTACTTCACAGTCGATACAAACAAAATTCTTTAAACTTAAATCAATCAAGAAAAAGTACATTAACATAAGAAAACGTATCTACACTTGCACTATTTTTTGATACATCACTTAATTATCAATGTTATTATTTATTTTTAATTATTATTTATCTTCATAATCACCATCATCATCATCATCATCATCATTAACTAACGATAAGTAACAAATTATTCAGATAGAAATTTTTTATGATTCCGGACAATTTAGAATTGAAATTAACCGCCCGTTACAAAAAGTCACTTCTCTTAAATACCCACACAAACTTTACAAATGCTTTAACATTAATAAATTGCAGACATTCACGCTTCACCACCGATATTACGGAAAGATAGTACCTGCCAGTATCGAAATAAGATGAAGCATTTTTGTACTAAAGTGCAGCGATATAATATGATATTTTTATTTTTTATTTAATGAATTACTTATTCATAATTAGAAACTACTCAATGTACAATATGGATTTACACATGCATGATGATAGTCGATCTTATGATCAAGTCAAGTATCAAATAATAAACAATCTTAAATTGATGTTTATATCAAATTCCTCAACTCTAACATTAATTTGAGTCTTTTGAGTCAGATAAAATTTATTTCTCAAAATGAACCAACTACAATTTAATACTTGGATCAAGTGACTTTGTTTTTTATTATTCAAATAAGAAAAGAACAAAAAAAGCAACAAAAATCTCTTCGAATGATTTAAACACGTATCTTCATATAAATTAAAATATAATAATAAATATAAAAAGATTATTTACGATCACACGCGGCAAGTTTGGAAAAACGGTAGAGCACAACTGTACAAGTTGTATAAGAATAATTGTTAGTCTCTGGTCGGCTCGAGAATACCATTTAATTATGTATCAATATTAATTAATTCCTAAAATGATAGTAACCATAGATGGAATTTTTTTAATATAAAGGGCACTATCAATAATTATACTTTAATATTTTATTAATATAATATCTCTTCAACCCGAGCCTTACCAGCTGACTAGATTGCATTTCTAATGTTTTTATAAGTTTAATCTAAATTTATTTCCATTTATTGATGACTCAAACTACGATTAGAATCATTTATAACACCTAAAAGTAAAACCATGACCTACTATTTATGAAGAATGGCTAATAAATCTCCATTTTTTTAATAGCAAGTTAATTTAATATTAATTTATATTAATAAAGAACATTACCTACACTGCCGAGCCTCGATCCAAGTACTTTGGATGTGTGAAGCCTGCTATACATTCATCAAGCATACTATTATTTACATTATTATTAATCCTTTATAACTTAATATTTGCAAGAGCCATACACTTCTCGTTTTAGCTACTACCGTTTCTTCTCAATTAATTTTTCACAATTGATTAAATAGCCGCTTCAATCATTCGGTGATCAATACACATTTCCATCATTGTCTACTTTTATCATATTCTTTATCAAAAATTACCCGAAGCTTTTTTTTTAATTTACAAATACCGTACAATGTAATACATTGAAGCAAGAATATGATCGCTAAGACTACCTTTTCTTTCCCAATTGCTTTGACACTAATTTTTTCTTTAGTTTATGATCCACCTTGATAGGTTTTTTTTTCGGTCGTTCTGGAGAACCATTACAACAAGCGCAGCCTTTTTTCACGTGTCCTCGTAAACTAGATCTTCTTGCACGACAATCTGGTTCAATTAGTGTGGTATGGCACGTCTCATCATCGGAAGGCTCTGATGCTTTATCACTAGACATTACACCAGACTCATTAATTGCCTCTCCTTTAGCACGTCTTGCAATTATACTCTTTGGATCAGCTCGATTTAGTACTACCCTTGCATTAACTTGTAATTTATCTTTCTTTTTCAAATACGTACATCTGTCAGGAGTTGTTTTTACACTAGACATCTGCATAGAATCGTCAAGCCCATTCGTTATTACACTATCGTCTGGTTGACTGCTTATTGACTCGCTGATACTTGAATCCTCTTCATCACTACTTGATCTCGTTCTTTCAGAGACTGGACTCTCCCAAGACAGATACTCGGCACGAAGAACTTTTGATGTAGTTCTTTTTTTGTTCGTATAAGTGTATTTGTGCGTTGACAAAAGAGGCCCAGCAATCGGAGATAAAGGAGATGGTATTGTAACATTAGCAGTATTACCACCTAAAAGAGTTAAACTATCATCTCCCGAGCTTTCAATCGATACATTATTGGCATTTGTTCCTAAAGGTAATGATTCTGAGTCTAAATCAATATCTAATTTGATGTTTGACGGAATACTAGACACGCTTATTGGAGAACCTTCTTTAGATCCATTTCTTGATATCATTTTAACGTGACTATTATCTTTAGAATCAGTATCTGTCATTTGTAAATGTGGAAGAGATAACCTTGACATATCTGAATTACTGTTAGATCCGTCATCATGACTAATATGCCCTGGACTTAATTTTATTCTTTTTGGTGGATTTTCGAGCTGATTATCATCAAGCTTGTCACTTCTAGATCTTTTAGCCGAATCTTTTACATTCCTACTCCTCTGAGAGATACTTCTTCTTCGTTCGTTCGGTTTCATCTCAGCAACTGGACTCGTGTCTCTACTACCACTAGACGAATCTAGTGGGCGAAAATACGAAGAATTATATAATCTCATTCCAAGCGGCTGACTACAAGAAGCATCTTGAGATAAATGATCAAATGATGGTGAATGATTTGTGTCAAAAAGTAGATCAGCTTCTGGAAATAAATCACTTGTGCTTGGTTCATCGACGCCTAAATCTTCACACTCTTCAGATAAACTCTTTTGCAATCTTAATTCTCTCTCCATTGCAGCACGATTTCTCTCTATCCTCTGCTGTACTAGTTCTTTTTCCGATCTTGAATTATTTGTCTGATTTTTTACAATATTACTTTTATTAGAATACTGTTGAAAAGGTTCTAAAGTATGATTTATAAAATACTTTTTCGTATTTGCTGGATATATTTGGTTACCAGTCATTTCAATTCCTTGACCTTTATTGATTATCTGAAGAACAGTTTGTACATTTTCAGAATTTTCTCCATCTCGAGAATACACTTTTAGTGGCTCAATAGTCAATTGATTCGTTGATGTGGGTACATATCTCCAAGGAGTATCTGGAGAGGATTTTCTATCAGGCTCCCAAGCTTCTTGTAGTCTAGCATTACTACACAAAACACCATTACCAACTTTACAACTTGAATCAGTATCATTTGTCTGACGTATTGAAGAATCCTGACTATCAAGACCAGGATCACTTGAAACTAAAAATTGACTTGGACTATCAATATTAGAAATCTGTTTAGAAACAGTAGAATTAATTTCAGTTTTTATGTTATTTTGTATCGTTGTAACAACATTAGGTGATACTAAAGAATTTGATGTTATTAAAGATTTAGAAATTTTATCCGAAGTCAATTCTTCAAGTTTTTTCTTTACAGCTTTTGGAGAAATAACTTTATCATTCGTTATAATTTCTGTAGATGTTTCTCTCGTACTTTTCTGTTGCAATGAAGATGAATTTTGTTGCAATTGAGGAGATTTTGTCTGTTGTTGGCTATTATTTATTGCTGAGACGTCAGTTGAAGTAGCAAAAGCAAGAGCAATAGTTGCTCCATGCATTGAAACTGGTTTATCACCTTGAGTTTGATCTCCAGATGCTTTTTTATCTGATGCATCAGTTACAGCTGAAGTTAAACAAACTACTCCGTCTTTTAAACTGGCAGTAGACAGTTTTCCGATTGTTGAGTTGAATAATCTTGCACCTTGAATAGTTAAATTAGCATTACTAGTAATAACACCACATATTTGTTGACCTTCAGTTATCTCATTAATATTCCGTTGAAGAATCCCAATAGTCGGAGATTTGTTAACTAAGATAGTATTGTTGTTGATTCATTATTCATAACAGGTGTGGTAGGTTCACTCTTAATTATCACTTCATTTCCAGTATCATTTTTACTGTCTGTCGTAGATTCACTTGAAAACTGTGTTGATGTATTAGTTTGTGGAATAACTACTGAGGCATTTTGTGTACTACTTAACGACTGAGTAGTTGATAATGTCTGTAAATTTGGTAATTTTACTTGTTTAACTTGCGCTGGTTGAGAAATTAATTTTCCAGTTTGATTTAGAAATGATTGTAAGACTAATGTGTTTGACACTCCAGTACTTCCACTTGTTCTAACAGTCGCTGGTACAGTTGCAAGAAGTTTAGAACCTCCAGAAACAATCGTAAACTGTTGAGTCCCCTTCACAAGATTCATTGGTAAGATATAATTTGTTCCGGGAACAAATACTGCTGTGCTGCCAACTTTTCCAACCGAAGCAAGAGCACCAGCTACTCTTGAATTATCCAGCGATGTCAAAGCTTCACTAATACTTACAGAAGCCGTTGGGACTGGTTCGTGGACAATTACTGTCCTCGGCTGCCCACTACCTGGTTCAGTAAAAATTAAATTTCGCCTTTTAACATTCACTTCAACACTATCGTTAGAATCGTTCGTTATATTTCTTGTTTCTGATGATGAATCAACACTTGAAGCTGCTGGCTGTTCATCCTGTGATGTAAATCCAGCTGGACTATCTTGAACATGAACTATACCACTTGAAGAGTCTTCACTACCCATGGTTCGTCCTAAATCATCAGCACTAGGACTTAATTCCGATGACTGTTGCCCTGATGGTTTCGATTTACCGACACTAGATTTTTTACGTTTTGATGACTGACTAGGATTTGTCGGAGGATTAGAGCGTCTCCTTGGAGCTGGTTTATTATTTAAATCAGGAGAATTCCTCAACTGCTCAGCATACTCAGCTAAAATTGTATAAATTCTCTGCGCCGTTTGCTCATCTTCTTGCGGTTTTTGTTGGGGCTTTGGAATTGGTGAAGCTTTCGATGTATTAGTGGCACTAGTTTTTACTGTTTTAGGTACAGACTTCTTGGCACTCTTTGGAGATGGTGTTGGTGGAGTTTTTCCTGAAGATGGTATTGGTGCTGGCGCTGGAGTTACACATGGACTCGATGAACTTTGAGAAGTAACACTGAGTGCTGGTGAAGCTGCTGGCTGGCAATAAGAAGTCACTACAACTACAGGAGTAGAATTAGTACCTTTCTGGGGAGTAGTTGTATTAGTTTGATTGACGTATGTTAATGAGACTTTTTGAGGAAAAACATCTTGTTGGAAAGATGTATTATTGCCATTACTATTATATTCTGTATTCGTAGAAGATTGAGCTGAAATAAGTAATTGCTGAGCTAAACTTGAAACGGATGTTTGTTGATGTTGCTGTTGTTTTGCTTGGCTTTGCTGACTCGTCGTTTGTGTTTGAACAGTTGTTGTAGTGGTGGACGATGCCTGATGTTGTGGTTGAATTGTACTTCGTTCTTTGACTTGTTCTAAAACACTTTCGAATTCTCGTAATTGTTCTAAAGTTGTTGAACTAACCTGATTGGGAACTTCAATAGGAGAATTCAATAAAGTATCAGGTCTAACTGTGGTTTGTTGTTGCTGAGGTTGTTGCCTTTGTTGATTTTGCTGTTGTTGGTGTTGCTGTTGTTGTTGTTGTATCCTTGGAGCAGTTAAAACAGCTTGAGCTATAGCTTCAGCAATATTTTGTTGCCGTAACGGAGTACCTGCTCTAATAATATTTAATTTAACCACAGGCGTTCTTCCACCCGAAAGAGAATTCGTATGTGCTATTGTTGGAATGATGTTTAACTGATTAGCATTAGTAGTTGTAATAGTAACGGGAATTTTGTGCGTATATATAACACCACCAGGAGAAGCATTTTGAACAAGTTGCGTTAAAGTTTGACTAGCATTGGGAGTACTAACGCTCGTATTACTACCAGAGCTCTGGACTATGTTAAGTATCTGCCTGCCACTTGACAATTGCAGATTTGGAATGTTTGTTATGGACTGTACATTAAGTCCAGTAGTTACTTGACTATTCGACACAGATGTTTGTACAGCCTTTGAGAGATTCGAGGTCTTTTGAATACTACTCATCGGTTGGGATATTGTTTCTGTTGTTGAAGATGTGGCTACAGTAGTTGTATCAGTCGACAATGTATATGTTGTTTTCCCAAAGGCTTGTTGAAACTTTGGTAAACCTGTATTTTGTCCCTGTTGCTGTTGAGACACTTTCACTAGAGTTGACCTTTCATAATTCGTTCTATTCGACTCAGTCGATGACTCAGATACCCGTTGAATATGCCTTGAAAAAGCAACACTATCATCATCTAAATTTTGTAATGTTAACACATTCCTCTGTGCACTCACAACGTTAGGATTCACTGAAGCTAATTGGTATGTTCCATCAGGCTTGCAAACGATTTGCAATTGCTCTGAAGTGATGGGAACAGAGGCAACAGTTGTACCTGACGGTGATGGTGATTTATTTGGCGAATCGTTTTGACTTTGCTGATTATTCATGGTATGAGGACTATCTGGTTCAGTAGTTGAAGCATTCGTTGAACTAGTGGGTGATGTATCAGGTGGTTGATTAGCTTCCTCACCAACATCATGTAGAACTGAAGTTCTTGGAGGTGGTGTTTGTCCAGCGGGACTCATTCCCACACCACTATCGTGTCCCCCAGAGGATGGTGTTCCAGGTAATTGAATATTACCCGCAATGCTCGAAGTTCGATTTCTTGGAGGTGTATTCCCACTATTTACTGATCCAGAATTAGGACTTTGTGGAATGTTTCTCGAAATTTGTACAACGTTAACAGTCGACTGAACTCTCGGTGGTACCATCATATCAAGTGAATTCATTCCGGGAACATTTTTTGTTAAAATATCTGAATCTCTGACGGCTTTCGCAAGAATATCAAATTTATTTTTTCCTAAATTAGACTTTATTGGTTTACGATTGCGCTGATTTTTATTTTTATCATTTTGATCACCTTTACGCTTGTGAAACGAGCCAATGGAATTTTTGTGCGAAACGAATGGCATAGTTTTTTGAATATGAATGAGTTCGCTGGATATATCACTAGTATTTAAATTTTGTTTTTTCGATTGCAATAATTTCCTATCAATCTCATCGTCTCTTGTTAAAATAATTTTTGGATTTAAATTTAACGTACTGAGCATTGGTGCGAATTTTTTCACATTCCCTGCATTAATTACATTAGAATCCTTATTTTTATTATTGTTATTATTGTTATTACTTAAAATATTTTTAGGTAAAATTTGCGTTATTCTAGAAGTAGAATTTTTAGCATTTTTCGGTCGAAACATTCTTAATGATTTTAGGACAGCCGGATCACTTCTTCGTTTCTCAGATATCATTAAAGGTGCTGCAGCTGTATACGTTGATGCTTTAATTGTCTCACGTTTATTTTCATCCATATCGGCCGAGAATAAAGTTATTATGTCATTACTACTAACATCTGACCCACTAACGTCATCAGTAGGATGTCGAATATTTTCGACCAGCATATGAAAATGCGACACTGTTTCTACCGTTAATTTCGATTTTTCTCGCTTCTTTGTAATATCTTTATTGCACGATTTATTAAGTTTACTCTCTCGCCTAAATCCGTCGCTACCCAAACTATCTGTTTGACTATCTTGAGTATTTGTATCTTCAGAATCAGATACTGAATTTGAATTGTTCCGAAAGTGTTTTTGTTTGCGTTCATCACTGTCATAATCACTCTCAGACGACTCTAACCTGTGTACCTTACGTTGTCTTGGAGTTCGTCGAACCCGGAATGTACTCCCACTGTCGGAATCAGAGCTATCATCCAAACTCCTTCTTGTTGAAGATCTTTTGTAAGATCCTGCTGGCTGAAAACTACCATATTGTTCAGAACTATCTGACGGTGGATCCGCCCATTGCTCATATCCTTTTTCAATTCCAAAGAAATCGTCTTTAGTGTCATCTTCAGAAGGCCAATCTTTAAATTGTGAGTAATCGATATTGAGATATTTTAGTTCTTTATTTGTATTGCGCATTTCTTCAGCATTTTCCAAATATTTTTCACATAAGCCACTTAATTCTGACCAATCTAAAACCCAACTCAGTATATGAAAGCGAGGACTACTGAGAACTACAGCTAAATCGTCGCATAGCTGAGGTGAAAGACCAAGATTTTCCGAATCTAAAACCTGATTTGGCACAGACTTTTCATCGTAATTTGCCGAACCTGTCACGGCATCACCTTTTATTAATATTAAAGCATCAAGTGTTCTTTCAACAGGTTTATTCGTATGTTTCTTCTTTTTTGTTTTCTCTTTTTTAATATAATTATTACAATTGCAACAAACTTGCCCATTAAGACCATCTAAATTTGATTCTTTTTTGGGACTACTCGCATCATTATCACTTTTCTTCGGTGCTGTTAACAAACTTTTTAACAATTGATTGGAAGTATCGTAATTTTTAGCTGCACAATTTTGACAATTTTCTTTGGATTCTGACTTTTGAGTTTCAGATTGAGCATTTTCATCTTCTTCATCTTCTGCTTCGTCAGCATCACTTTCTTGTTTTAGTTTTCCACAAGCCACAGCCATCTCACGAATTTTATCATAGCAAGTACGCGTGGGATGTAGTGAGAATGCTGTCAAGACACACTCTCTTGCAATACCGATATTGCTGTCTAAAATATCGGCCAATTTAAGGAACTGCATACTCAAGCGTTTTACTGTCTCATGTACGCTATCCTTGTCAGACTTTGCTTTTTGTGTTTCCAATTCGTTCATGTCCGTTGTAAGTGCTCTAATATACAGCTCGACAGCCAATGGTTTTATCTTCTCGCCAAACTAAAATTCATTTAATTACAATTTAATTACCAATTGAATTGAATTACAAACTTTTATAGTTAATTAAGCACAGACAACTGAAGCATTGAAATGATGCAATAATTTTTCTATTACTTCAAAATATTCTTGATTATGAATAATTATTTTTAATTATTCAAAAATATTTCCATAATAATTAAAGTACAAGAAATAAAGTTTGCGAAAAATAATAATAATCAGATAAATATGTAAATAAGATTGAAGTGATTATGAAAATCTTTCATACAGTCTATAAAAGTATGCAAAAAAAAATTTAATTTATTATTATGACCTTGTATTAATATACCAAATAGTTAAAATTATTGCATCGATTTTATGTTATGAAATATTCTAATAACTCACATGGGTCAACAATACTCCACAAAAGGCATAAATATGGACCGCACTCTCTGCTGGTTCTATTAATTTCCTAATCATTCCTGGTAAATTTGGATCATTTTCTCTTATTTTAATATGTAAACCAGCCCAGGTACCTAAAATTTGTTCTAAAACATTTATGCCTGTTTCATTAACTGGTCGAACCATTCCCGCAGTAACTAGATACTGAGCAACTAATTCGGCAGCTTTTATCGAATTTCGCCAAACACGCGCAGTATCGTACTTTGCGGGTTTCACTTCACTTAGTCTCTGAACAAGTTTTAATCCATCATTAAGGTCCATTAATTTTAACTATAAACAACAAAAAAATAAGACTTTTAGTTATTACTTAAAACTTGATTATCTCATAAATATATATATATATAAATGGTGAATAATAGCTTACTTGAGCGAATATATCTTGCGTGCGTTTCAATTTGTACAACAGGACAATGTAAACATCGATCATATACTCGATTTGGTGGTTATCTAACACTGATCTCACACGTTCGCTTCGTCTGATAGAACGGACGCACGCTGCTGCAAGTTTTACTGCTATATCCTCGCAACGTTCTTCACAAAGAATTTTTAACCTCATCATCAACAAATCACCTTGCTCCGAGTAACAAAATTCTAAAAAAATAATAAAAGTTTTTAATTGAACGTTTATAAAAGAAAACATAAATTCAATTAATTTAAAAAAAACATACCATCTTCATGATCAGCATCTGGTCCTCCGTTAAATATACAATCAAGTCCAGGATGATTCCAAGGATTGTGTACTAATGAAATAAGGGCTGTACATTTTGGTGCAACAGGATGGTGCACCAGGTGACTCACACACCTCTGTAACGTTACGGTGAGGTGTGTTTTCGTAGCAGGTGACAGCTTCGGCCACTCCCCACGCAATACCAATTTCAATGTATGTCTAGAAGTAAACAAATAAGATACATCAGTTATTCTATTTTTATTGATTATTCTTTGTTTATTATTAATAATTAAAATTAATAAAAATTATTTAAAAACTTACTTGTGGACCCATTCTATAAGAGACTGGGTTGCCTCTGGGGTTGCCGCAGGAATGAAATTGGTGACATGCTCCCAGGCGGACAGAAGTGCATTCACCTTGTCGCCGTATTTTTTTTTGCTGTCACTTAACGTAGCTTCAAGCCCCTGAAAATTCATTCCATTTATTTATTCGATTTAATCCTCTTAAATAATCATTATCTGACTTAATAAATTTTTTGTATGAATTAATTGTATTCTAACACCTGAAGGAAATAATAATTTTCATCAAATTTATGCTCGTATACAGCAACCTAAAACAAAATTTGGTTTGTTGTTGAGGAAAAAAGCCACTTTACTGATTAAAACAGACACCCTTACGGCAATATCATGTTGGAAAATGTACTTAAGAAATTGGAGCAATAAAATACTTCATAATAATCCGATTATTTGCATTTAAAATATTTAAAATAAAAAACTAATGAAGAATATTCATTGAAGAGATGAAAAATAAAAGTACAAAAATTACACTTATTGCCAAGCCATCCTAGTTTAATTAATTTTCTCTCCTTCATCATTTATTACTTTTACAACCAGAAAAGGAATATTTCATGTTTAGCTTATCCTACTAGTCTTAATGTCAGTTAAACAATGAAAAATAAATTACTTTGTATAACGTTAAATTCCATTTTACATCATAGCATAATCATCTAAACAATTTCTTTCAGTTGTTTGTAGATTAAATAAACTGTCTGTATGATGAATCATTATTTTATGAGTTTTCGATTTATTGTTAGTTGGAAAAACGTTTGATCTAATATTGTTTAGGTTCTAACATAATTAGGTATGAATTAATCAGCAATTTTATAAATATCTATCAGTTTTATTTCATCGATTTTCTCATTATTAGGGCACTTTATTTTACTATTTATGTCTCTTTCGTCAATTGATTTACTGAAGTTTATATTGAAAGATAAAAGCGTTTTTTTAACTGAAACATTTTAATGAGAATAATATTGAATTAACTATCTCATGTTGGAGATTAAAATAAAATACAAATTAAATTGAAGCTTGAAATATGAATTTATATTTAATAGATTCGTAAAAGTGATGATTAATTCAATTGAATTGATTTATGGTAAAAAGAATATTGAAAGTTTTTATTATGTGAGAAATTGATTAGATAAAGCAATGCAAGAAAATGGAAAGAAGTAGATATTTGATTGAAAATAATAAATGATAAATTTTAATGGTAAGGACAATTTTATAATATGCGACAAGTTTGCAAGAGCTCGTCTATAGCAATCAGTAGTATTTGGAGATCGTGCTGTCTACTAGAATAATATTCCCGTCAACCGCAGAATTTCCTGACCTAAAATATAACGATGTTAAAATTGAATTATTGGAAATTGTTCGATCATGTTATATGGTATTATTTAACGGAAATACTGAATGAGACAAAGAGGAAAAGTGAATTTATAAAAAGTACAATGATAACAGAAATAATTTCAAATTTTTTTGATGAATAGCTGCAAAAATTTTTTTTATCAACTAAAAATGAATAAAAACGATCAAATACATCATCATACCTATCAGCAAAGCTATATGAACAGTAATTGGATATGCTTATTTCAGAAGAGTCTGATAATAAAATTCAACGAAAACTTCTTTAGTTACATAACGGAATAAAAAAATGAATATTAGTTATTTTAGAGAAGCCAATTCACAGAAGAGAACTACCATTAGGACAAAAATAAAAAAGTTTTTTAGAGTCTGAAAAAGTTTTTTATCTAAAATTTCCATGAACGTTTTTCACTTTTTCATAACTAACTCAACTGATATCTCATGTAAAATATTCTGTCTAGTTATACCTGTATGAGGATGAGCAACATGGTCCATGAATACTCAACAAATTTACAGAGATTCACGGTAGATTTGTGGTAAAAAAATAGATAAATAAATAAATTTTTTTAACCACAAGTTGAAAAATAATGTATTGTAATAAATATAAAATGATTTTAATTAATTATTTTTACATAAAATTCATATTTTAAGAGAAAAAATTTTTTTTAATTAAAGAAACAATTTTTTATTACTTTAAATATCAAAAGTCAATTTTAGATTTCCATTATTAATTTTAAAAGTCTAATTAAAAATTTTTTTAATCCATCCTACATTTATTTTATTTTATACATCGAATTGAAAAAAAAAATATATTAAAAAAATTTTTTTCTCTTAATTATAATATTTTATATAAAAATTAATTGAAGAAAAGAGTAAACAAGAAAAAAACCAACGACATAATGAAACTGTACAGAGAAGTCATATGCATTGGACGTTGAAATAATCTAATTTATTGGTGTAATCTTGACCGAAGTGCGGGGAATTTATAGACGTTGCACATTGCAAAGCGTCGAGATAGCCGTTATTGGAATAGCATGAATAACCGAGAGCACTTTGCTAATCGATAATCGATATCCAACGAAACCATCATAATCAAGATTCGTAGGTGGCCCTTTCAGTCACGGATCTTGAAAATAATGAAAACGGAACTCTCCGTTCACCAGTCAAATGTATATACCGGCAATTGCTTGAAACTGAGAACTAGTTTATTTCTCATTTTGTTCTTCCTCAAGCTCATATTAAATAGAGTACCTTACGGCTGTCAAATCGACAAACATTAATTTGATGCGCTTAATTAATTTCCTCATTGCAAACATGTTGAAAGACAATTTTTCGACATTTTTAAATATCAAAAGTATCATCTACGAACGATGTTTAATTTATGTTCGGTATAATTTTGAGATTTTAAACAAATTATTTAGGAAAAGTAAACAAACAGATGAAACAAAAAAAAAATGCCTACCACGAATAATGGGACCATTATTACGATGATTGTTTCGTGTACGTAGTATTTGTCTTGCGGTGTAAATGTAGCCTTCTTATTTTACCATCATAATCCATTGTATGTGCTGTCCGATCCTTTAGTGAGTTTACGCTAAAAAAAACACCAAATTTTCAGATTGCAGCAAACAACAGATTTAAAAAAAAATATAATGATTCAATGAGGAAAAGCGGCAGACATTCTTGAGTTGAATTTGGCATCTTGCCCAACCGTTTTTTTTTTCTTTTTCTTTTATTCATTTTAACTGAAGATTTTTTCTCATTTCATTTGCCTCTTTCAATGTTTTTACTATAATCCTTCTTATTTTTTCGATATTTTCTACTCAATAATATCAATGCATATTTTTTTAATTCGATTAATTACAGTCTTCAGAATTTCAAGAATCTTTGGAAATAAAAGTTTCGCGATTAATAAAAATGAAACGTATTTTCTGCTCTTAGTTTAAATCAAGTCACCAGAAATTAAATAGGGATGAAAAAAAAGTTATAATGAATTATAAAATGATTACTAGCTTGAGGAAAATCTTGGACTTGAATTAAAATAGCGAAAAGCTCTTTTAGAGCTGGTGTCTTTTTTATTTTTCTTAATTTTTTTTTCTGTATAAAAGAATGAACACGGAAAGTTTCAAATAAGATTTCGAAAAAAAGGCATATGAATTTGCTCAACAAAATTGTAATATTTTTCAACAGAAAAACGTCAAGATGAATGAAGGGATTGAAGCAAGTTTCAAGAAACTGAATTTATTATTCGTCCCTTCTGTCTTCTTGTGCTCGACACTCCAATTGTTAGGTCTTAAGCTGACTCAGTAGCAAGTGCGAATAGCGACAGTAAAAAAAAAGTGTAGTTATAAAGCTGCAGAGACAAGTGGAGAAGAAAAGTAGAAATGGGCAACGATGTCGTTGTCGTTGTCGTCGTCGTCTTCGTCGTCGTTTGCCAGTGGTGAGATCACCAACTGGACTTTTCTGTAACTTTTCCCATTCGCAAAGTTCCAAAACATAAGACTTGTCCTATGCCGAACCTGCCGTTTGAAAATAGCGAACAAACGTTTGCCAACTCGTTGAATCTGACAATTCTCAACTCTCCTATGAACTTCTTTTATTTAACTCAATATTCTTTCTCTTTAATTTCTCTTAATGATTCTTGATTCCAAACAATTCGACAACCTAAAATATACGTAAGAATTTAAATGACAAATTGAATCAATAATTATATCCTTACCACGCACGACTTTTGGATGTGTGAAGACATTCAGAGGGGTGTCGAATGCAGTTTATGTACGGCAGCCACTGATCTTCGTGAGGCGACAATTGGGTCGGGGATATTGTCGTTAACCGGGAATCGCTGCGCCAATGGCACAGCCCCAGCTGCAACCTCAACACTGTGGAAACAGTGTGAAGTAATGGACTACCAGGACCCGCCGTGTCTCGTGGCAGCGAGCACCGACTAGGAGCAACAAGGGCAGGACTCGTGGCGGACATCAGCAATTACGCTAAAATGTCAAACGCCGGCGATGTCCTCCCCCGAGACCTAAACGCCAGTACTTTCTTCACTATTTTATTCTTCGTTTTCTTTTTTCTTCTTTGGTCCCAATTCTCTAGCCACCAATGAAGAAACGCCAACTCCAACTTCTGCAATAATTAAAAAGTTTTTTTTTGTTTTTTATTCAGTTGATTGAACTGTTATATTGAAAATGTCATTGACTTCATAGCAATACTTTTTTTTTTATGTCATTAAAAATAAATATAAAATACGCAGCTTGTTATTTTGTCTTTGATCCAGTCAAAATATATTGATATGAATCAGACAGTGTGATATCGTGAGTTATTCGATAATTTGATTTACTGATAAATCAAATTATAAGTAATAATTAAAAAGGGTGATTTTTAATTTATTATTTCATTATTTGTCAATGAAGATTATGTATGATTAAGGCCAATTTCAGAGAACATGTAGTAAATTATGAGGAAAACAGTTCAACAGAGCGTAAGACAGAAACATTCTTATATCTTTTATTTTTTGTGCTTTCTTCGATCGAGCTTTCTCTTCCTTTATAACTTTTTTACTTTCTTTACTACTCTACCTTTTTCGCTATGTTCTTTCAACGAAAAAAAATGACTCAATACTTTTTTCGCTATTCCGTAACGAGTTCAAGAGTAAAAAGTCTTTTTTTCGATCCACCTCCCTTTTTCCTACTCTGTTAATATAACCTTCTAAGAACTTGTTACTTTCATGTATACCCAACTAAATCATTCTGTACATTTACTTTAATATTTAAGTTTCAATTATATTTATTCTTATTTCAACAATAAAGTTGAACATTATTGAGTCATTAAGTGAATATTTCTCATATTAAGTTTCATTCTTTTGATGACTTATACATGGTAAAAGTCACTGATATATAATTTTTCGAAATAAATTAGTTAATTTCGTATATAATTTGAGAATTTTATCAAAGTATTTATAAATTAAAAAAAAAAAAAAAAGAAAAAACTAACAATTTAATGATGTTATTTCAAACTTGCTCATCATAAATCAATATTGAAATTAACAAAAAAAAAAATGATGAAATTATTCTAAAACAAATTAAATTAAAAGTTAATAGCAACTACTTTAAGGAAGTTATTAAATATAAAAAGAACACGTAATAATAATGTTTACAATTATTTAAAAAATTAACATCAATAAAAAAAGTCATAATAACTCGTATTACCGTCAATAGTTATTTTATAGTGGAAATTAAATTAAAAAGTTTTAAATATTTCTAATTAAATTGGCTTTATTGCTCTACACGGAATAATTCAAGAAATAAAACATTTTCGTGCTACGCTGATATTAATAAATAAATTACTCAGCTATATGAGAACAACGAATTTCCCATGACTGGAAAAATATGAATATCATAAAGAATGTATATACCTATGAGCATAAAGCAGAGATGAAATATTTAATTTATCGAAAAAAAAAAAAGAAGAAGAAAAATGTCACACGCCATTTCATCTGTTCTTTACCCAGCGTTTACATTGGAATAATGTTCACTCCAACAAGTCCGCCATCTTTAGCTTAGCATCCCCCATTTACTTCCGAACGTAGAATCTCGAGAACTGCACTAATTAGTCTCTCATCCCTCTACAAGATTTCATTGCTTTCACTAAATAGCTAGACAGTATTAGCGAATTTTCTATAACACATGATTGGAAATCATGTACACAAAACGCATCAGTACTCTCTTCCGGCGTCATATGTTTATCGCTTGTATAATTCCATACATGAAACATTGCTAGAGGCACGAAGCAAAGGAAATCCTTTGAGGCAAAGCAAATGCGATGTGTATGCAATGCATGGAGATGTAGAATTCACATTCACGGCATCTGATCCATAACAGAGAGATGAGAAAAGACAGAAGAGAATAAGTTTGTGAAAGAGAGAGAATAGTGTAGACCAGGATCAGGGTGTGAAGGCTGTCGTCTTGCGAACGTTTCCTTTATTCCAAAGGCGAAAAACTTTTGGATAAAGTTTCGAGGGTGCTCGACTATAGACTTTACATGTATATGTATGTGTGTCATGTATATATATATATATATGTGTGTGTGTTAAGGCCTCTGAGACTTTCGTTTCTTTTTCTAACTTTATTCCGGAAAAAATAATTGCCATTCACTTCTTTCTGTGCTGGAGTATAAACGGCTACACCACCCCTCAACTCTACAGCATTCGTTACATATTTCTTTTCTTATTATTTTCCTTCATTTTTTCTCCAACTCCTGGACATGCACCACAGGCAAAATGAAGTTGAGAAAAGTAAAATACAAGAGAGGCGTTTTCTCCAATAATTGAACGTCACATTTGCATTGCAAAAGTAGTCTCTTTTTGGAGTATTGCTATAAATAAGGAATAAAATTTACGTTGATTTAAATGTTTAATATAATATTTTTCTTTGTTCACAATAACAAATAATATCTCCATTGATATCTGTCCAAATGCCATAAATGTAGAAGAAAAAATTCATTCATGACCTACATTTAAATAAAATATGCAATTCTATATTAGCAAAAAAAAAAAAGAGAGATTTTCTTTTTTAAATGAAACTTAAATTTTTATGGGTTTCGACAAGTTAAACTTCAATCTAAAAATTTCAATTTAAGATAACTTTATCACATCAAATTTTTTTTGATGTTGAAATGTAATATTTTGAAGTGAGAAATGTGAATTTACAATTCAAAAGAAATACTGATTGACAGAACATAAGTAATATGATAATAAAAAACAAATATAATTTATAGTTTAAAATATAAATGGTATTTTGTTAATTAAAATTTCATTATTTTCATCCGAAATATATTGAAATAATTATAATTTTAATTGTAAGTAAATACTCAACATGTTTTTACTCCCTAATCATATTTACCCGTCATGTTCGTGACCCAAATGTTAATATAGTATTTAAATAATGAATCATTATTTCATATTGGAGCAGTACAGAAGCATTAATTGGCTCAGGAACATTAAAATTTTTTTGGAATAATTTCCTTTCAGTAAGTTTTAGGTTTTGGTCATTACAGGACAATATGGGAAATGTGTACTGTGCGTATATTCTGAAATATACAAGGGGAGAATAGGGCACGCCCTTCTTCAATGTTGAGGGAGTCTAAAATACACGCGTGTCTGGATATATTGTATACACAAAATGTATATACCCAACATTTATTCTATCTCTCACCCTCTTCAGTTACTGCTGAATAACTTTTACTATTCAGAAAGACTTTACATATATCATGACAAACGACTGTTGACGACTAAAAACGTAAAATAAAAATGAAAACCGACCAACAAATATTTCTATCAAAGGGTGAATAATTTTTCTTTCTCATTCATATTATTTTTTTTTCCCCGAATCTTTTCTTCCACTCACTCATTTATCGCATGTTTATTTGAAATATAAATTACAGACCGTTAAAATTTTCCACCTAAACCTAGACAACCATAATTTAAATGTTTCTTTTTCCGTTATTTTAATTTTTAAGAACAATTTTAAGCTTCTGAAAAAATTTAATGAGTATCAAAATGTTTAAAACATCATATAAAAATTGCTGTAATTTGGATAACGCTTGATAATTGCCAATTAGCCGTTACAACTATATACATATATGTTCACTACACTCTCATTTCATGTTGAAACTCTCATAGCAATAAAAATACCCCGGGTGATCGCAATGCGGTCACTTGATTTTTATCGGAATATTCTCATAAAAATCAACTGATGATAATAGCTGTTATAAAATAGAGTATTGTAGGATAAATAAAATGAAAAAATAAAATAAAACGATAGTTTTAAAAAAAAAAATAAATAAATAAATGTTACAAACAAAAAAAAAACTATTTTATTTTTTCTCGCCTTTTTTACTATTAAATTTTTAACGACATAAGATTTCTAGTATGTTTTCCACCTGTTTGCTGGCCCGTATTTAAATCCTACCCTTTAACATTCGACCCTTATAGCAGAAACTCTACAGATATCCGCCCTTTTTTTTCCACCTCGTAGCGCATGCCAACGTCACATACAAGGGTAAGAGAGGGAGCCAGAGCGTGTGTGGAGTCTTGATGAGAGCACTTAATCCTACAGCTAGTACTCAATGAAAATCCAAAGTTAGACGGCTTTAAGTAACTGCAATGTACATTTAATTTTTATTCAATAAATTTTGAATTTTTCTTAAATAAGTTATAATTTCATTAGTGTATATTGATTAAGAAACATTTTCCTACTATAACTTGAATGTAATGAGAAATAATTTTAGCTTGTTCGACAAACATTTTCATCTCTTTTCCTTTCTATCTGGAAAGCATAACTGCTGGCATCTGTGAAAGCAAATTGGTATGATCAAAAGGGTGAGTGTTGATGCTCGTAAGGGTAACAAAATATAATAAGTGTCGGTTAAGACACGTGCGAATTATTTGGAACCCTGTGAAAAAGAAAGTCCAAATCATCTCTTGTTTGTCAGCAACAAAGCATAAACACGTGAGGGTAACAATTTTATTTTGTGACTTTTGGGTGTCGCGTGTAACACGCAATGGTCAAACCTCAAAGTGCAAACATGAATTGTATTTTATAAACAATTATGAATAGTTATTTCAACTGAATTTATAAAGTCATACAAATCAATAGATGTATATTAAATGAAATAAATATTTTAATATTACATCAAAAGTATATAAACTACCACAATGTATTATTTTTTGGGGCATTTCTATCATCATCAATCATCGTAAACAATAATTTGAGTTTCAAAAATAAGGGAACAAAACATTTTTTTCAACTTTCATCAAAATCGTTGTTAAAACATTGTATGTTTTTTCATAAAACTTTTTTTTCCTGTTTATAGATCAACCTGATTTATGAAGACGAAAAAAAAATCTTCGGTGTCCTAGTTTGTGTCCAAAAAATACATCTCTATGTGATAAAAATTACTTACAATTTCATCTACCTTAAATTAAAAAAAAAATTCCTTTAATTTTTAAAGATCTTCTGAAAATATTCACTTTATTGAATATCATTTAAAGTTTTGAGCTCAATAACTTAATAAAAGAAATTTATTTTCAATATTCCATCTTACTATTTCATCTTATAAAACTAATA